ACAGAAGAACAGTAACTAAACATTTTCTGTTCAAACAGTGATAACCAATGAACAGCGCCACTCTCAAATCCTATCAATTATAAACCAGAAAGCTCTGCTAGGCATTTAGAAATTCGGTTCAAGAAATGCCCCGTCCCCTTCCTATTGCAATGAACAAAACGGATAAAAAATTACCTGAGATAACGAGAGACGAGGTTGACAAATCCCGATTTCTCATTCTCACTGCCAAAACGAAGAGAGAATCAGATCTAATCACCAAAACACAATTTCCACAGAAACCCATTGCAGCACAAAAACATCAGGGACAGAAACCCCAATGGCCAACCCCAAACAGATCCCATAGATCAAAATCAAGAGAAAAAATAGCTACACACACACACATATATGGGTTTGTGTGCACATTTCCATTACCTTATCTGGTTGAGACCAGAGACAGCGGCTTTAAGCTTAGAGAGCTTCTCACTGTCAGCAGGGCTAAGAGTAGCAGCAGACGCCATGGATAAAAAACTAGAAGCTCCCCAGAAAACAAGAAATGCAGAGCGAGAAAGAGAGAGATGAAGAGGAATAGGAGGACCCTTTTCGAGAAACGAGGGATTTATATGATGGAATTGGAATACTCTGCTCAAATCGCACGCAATGCAAAGCAAAACGTGGTGCCAGATGGGCGGTTAGAGGAAGCGGGTAAGGAGTGGAAGGGATTCAAAAATGGGTGTTTGTGAAATTCAGGACAAGTGTACAAATAACAATGAGCAGGCTTATTCGGATCTGACGAAGAATTATGCGGTGGGGACGGAGAGAGAAGGGTGTAGCGCCCGTTTTACGCCATCTCTGAGAATTTGCTTTCTTTTACTGAGGATAATAATATCTTCCCCTTGTTAAGGAATGAAGGGTTCCTCTTTCTACCGCCGAATCTATATTTTTGGACTGGACTTCCTTTGGAGAAGAAGTGTATGAATCGCTGATGGCTGCCTCTCGTGTTTGATTATTTGCTAGAAGCCTAGCACTAAGATCATAATTCCATAGTTTTGTGAGAGTCAGAATTGTGTTTTTGAGTTGGTAGGCATGTTTTATCTACTAAATTATGCTTGTTAGACATCCTGAAATGATCTTATGTGTGACAAAAAAAAATAGAGTTCTTTAATTTCCGAGAGTAACTTTTCGAACATGGAGTTCCAGAAACCATAACTCAATCCTTACTCAGACTTTGTATCAACAAAATTTGAGTTGAAGTGTCAGTAAGCAAACCACTCTACAAGTGGGCCCTCTTGGCCACCCGCGACCTTGGCTTTTTAGAAAATATCGTTCCTGTTTCGTGGAACTTGTAGTTGAAGTTCGGTAGTCTGCCAAGTGAGTATGTTAATCCTTCAAATTTCTCAGGCATGGAGTTCGAGAAACCATAACTCAATCCTAATTTCTCACTGTTATCCTACTACTGTAGAACTTACACCTCTCACGATAGTATATGATAACTCCCAGGTGGGATCCACATCTCGACGATATAAATAGAACTTTCTTCTTTTCTTATGCAAGTCTCACGATAGTATATGATAACTCCCAGGTGGGATCCACATCTCGACGATATAAATAGAACTTTCTTCTTTTCTTATGCAAGTCTTACGCACACCTTAGAATCCGATTTCTCCATTTCCCTTGGCATTCAATTTTCGCACAAGATTGGATTTAAAAAATGTGTTGTGCTTAGTCTTTAGACTTTAATATATTTCCAAAGTTTCAAAGGTATGTTTAATATATACTTTTAAAAATATTATAATGGAATTATCAACTTTTAATTTTATGTTCAATGAGTTTCCTAAAAAATTATATTTAATGGGTATGCATTGTTGCTAGCTAATTTGATTGTAACTTAGCATCAAATTGATTGTAACTTAGCATGAAATTACCTTTTCTAAAATCGAAAGTTCTATCTCGCTCCCTCACATTTATTGTACTAAAAAATAACATATGTCTTTTTAACTTTTCAAAGACAGGTTTAAAACTTAACAAAACGACACAATTTTCAAAGTTCATTACTAAATTTATAATTCAATGTCCAAGAAACTTTTAAGCATTCGTTATTATAGTTATTAAATAATAAAAAAAATTGAATGTGTGTATGTTACTCTTTCATTTAAAATTTTAACGGCAAGGATTGAATCTGAAATTTGTTGAAATTTAAAAGACTAAGCATAGTTGTCAATGGAATGCATTAAATGACATGGATAATAGGTAATAATTTTGTCCAAGTAGAATTTTGTGCCATCAAGTAAATCATGCATGGTAAATTTTTTGAGAAAATGATTGTCATTGTTGTAGACATTTATTTTAATAACTAAAAGTCTATTTGATAACAATTATTTTTTGTTATTTTTACAAGATAGTTTTATTTCTAAGCAAACTTTTTATGTTGAGAAAAAAAGACACAAAAAATGTGGAATAGTGAAGTGGGGAGGGGAAATGAGAAAAAGGAGAAGAAGATGATGGGACCAAATGAATATATTCGAGCGCGGTGCAAGATGGAAAAAGAAAAAAAAATGCTTAGATGCTTCGAGAATTATTAAAAAAAAAAGTTCTCTCTTTCGTCGTGGGAGAATATTCATATGAATGGATATAGTACAAAATTTTAAGAATTGGACAAAAATTCATATAAAATGTGAATTTTATGGTCCTACAAGATGGATCTAAAGAAAATAACATAACGAATAAGTTGGCAATAACTTAAGATACTCAAAATTTCAAAAAAAAATATCTTTTTCCATAAGAAAGAAAGTTATGATAGTCCATAATTTATATATTCCGACTAAGTCCAAAGATCATATTCTACCAATAACGACGAGAATGAATACAGCTAAATTTAAGTAACTTGCTTGACTGAGTTAATTAATACTGGTAACTTAAATTTGCAAATAAATAAAGAAAATATCAGCCGTTCAAAGATTTGCTTTAAAAATGGGAATAAACAAATAGATGGTTATTTTATTCCTAATCAATAAAATATTACAAATTATAAGGCTTTTAGACCTAAACTTTAACCAGTACTTTGACTTATTTTGTTTTCGACTCAACTCTCGACAAACACCTTGACGTACTTTTTTTTTCTTTTTTTTTTTGAGTTCAATAATGAGGCGGAAATTCGAACCTCCAACCTTGTTTTAATGTTTAGATTGACTCTTTAACTTCCATCCTACGAGACAAAAGTCTCGCCTCTGAACCATATCTACAAGATAGACTGCTCACACCCTCTTAGAAGTCTAACGTTCCCTAAACCAACCTGATATCAAACATAAACTAGCTCCTGAACACAAGAAGTTGACAAAGCTCAACCTCATCATCCTTGACCAGTTCCTTGTCCGAACCTGGTATCAAACATAAACTAGCTCCTGAAAACAAGAAGCTAAAAAAGCTCAACTTCATCATCCTTGACCAGTTCCTTGTTCGAACATGGTATCAAACATAAACTAGCTCCTAAATACAAGAAGTTGAGAAAGCTCAACCTTGTGATCCTTTGACCAATAAGGACAATAATTCATACAAAAAAATAATAAAATGAGAAAGTAAATCACACTAAACACGACTCACAATTCACAACAGGTCCCTCATGCACAAGGAACTGGTCATCTCATCCTAGGCCTTATAACGAGACACGCTCCCCTCCGATTTACTTTAAAAGAAGTAGTATTTCCAATATTTTACCACATATTATGGTCCATTTCATGATCTTTCTAACAATGAGAGGTATTAATTTGGACCATGTGCAAATTATGATTTGCTCCGATCATGTAAGGCATCAAAGGATCCCTTCACAGATATATGCAATCAACAATATGTTGATTATTGTTGAATCCAGAGATGAGAGATCCTTAAGTCTCAAGCTCCACGACTTAGACAATTTTTTTTCTTTTTTAAATAATAAACCGAGCTTTAATTTTGAAAGATGGAAAAATATAAAAAGGTGAACTCTACAGTAAAGAAAGAGAAAGAGCTCCAATTTAAAAGAATAGCACCTAACTGATAATTATAAAAACTCTTAGAAATTGACTTTCTCACGGGAAGTATTAAACCTAATAAGTTCCCAAACATATTTCCTGGATCTCTCCACCCCTAAAAGTTCTATTGTTTCTCCCTAGTCAAATTGGTTAATTGAGATTTTCTAGTATTTTGACGTGTTTTTACCTCTTTTCATTTTTTACTCGTGTAAAGACACATCCTTTTTTTTTTGTTCTTTTTGTTTTCGACTTTCTTTCCATTTTAATAAAATCAGTCAAAATTTTGGAAACTCGTAAATGAGAAATTATAAGATAATTAATGGTTGATCATTCTTGATTTTTTTTTTCAATTACAAACTTAATATGAAAAAAAATCTAACTTCTTAATTTGTAGAATCGATGATCGAGAAATAAATTTTGCATAAACCAAGATTGCATAAATGCTCGAGATTTAATTAAAAAAAAAAAAGAATTGCATGCTATCCCATGCACCAATAGTAAAAAATCCAATCCTTATTCGGATTATGCAATTCTAGTCCTGTATTGTGCTATCCCAACTTAGATACCATGCAGTTCCTTTTTTTTTCATCTGGTGGAATCTTGCCTTTTTTTTTAATAGAATCTAGTCGAATTCGATTTAATTTTCATATTAAATGATTAAATTATTTAATCATTCCGTAATTTCATCCATTTTTTTTAATAAATTTTTTCCAAATTCGTATTTAATCTATTAAAAAAAACGAGATTCATGCAATTTTTTTTTCCGAAGCAGCAAGCTCCAAAACGAGCATTCAGAATTGCATGCACATTTTTGGATTATGTGGGTGAAATCAAAAGAACAAATTAAAAAAGTGCGAGTGCGTAGATTGCACAAAACAAAACCATAACCTCTATCCAGAGATCTGCATCGCTTCAAAATGGGTAAAAAGAAAACTAAAAACAATCCGAAGAAGAAGAACAGAGAAGAAAGCTGAGGGAAAAAAGAATTCACGAAGTGGAAAAAAATGGGAGACAAGAATTTTACCGACTGTAATGGAAAATCAGGTTTCTGACCTTGGATATTAGACCTTGGATATTTTGGTAACTTAACTTTACAGATACAAAAGGTAGATATGGGTAAAAAATTTAGAAGGGAATAGAGTCACAAATAAGAATTTTTAGAAAATAGGTAAAAATTCAACTCGACCGTTGACTTGAGCATGGTTGAGTGGTAATTGGCATATATCTCTAAATATTGTACTAAAAACACCCCACTCAGACTTGATTATGATTAAGAAGGGGAGGTATTGGTGATTACTTAAACCTGTAAGAATAGTAGTTGATCAAAACTAGCTTAACAAAACTGTAATCACAAGTTTCTCAAGCTTTAACAAAATAATCAGAGCGCAATTCAGAAGAGTCTAAACAAATTTTCTTTTCTCTCAGTAACTATTGATTGAACTGTGTTTTTCTGTGTATCTATGTACACTTTTCACTACCTAAATAACAATAACAAAACTTTCTTGGGTTTCTTACAGTAATCAGAATGATCTCTTCAAGTACTTAAAATGCATGGATGAATCTAATACAATCTTGATAATCAGCGAGTAATTCAGAAGGCT